TTTTTTTTTTTTTTTTTTTTTTTTTTTTTTTTTTTTTTTTTTTTTTTTTTTTTTTTTTTTTTTTTTTTGAGATAAGACCGTTAGTATCCGGGTGACGTTAACCCGCTACATAACGGAAATTATAGCGGATTAACGTCACCCGGATACTAACCCGCTATAACAGAAATTATAGACGCTGCTATTTAACAAGCTAACGTTGATTGGGGCCACAAATAGGTTTTTGCAACATCAAGGATCTACTACTTGGATATTGTTCTCCCAAACATTGGTATTTCTCGGTTCGCGACGGCAGAAAAAATGAATCTACGCGTTTTCTGTGTTTTGATTATGGTCTACATTTTGAGCGCCGTCATTCACGGGGAGACGTCCTCTCCAGAATATATTTCGCAGATGCAACTCTTGTATCGCACCAACTTACAAATAGAATATGTAGAGAGGGCAATGAGACGTCATTGTCCGGCACTGATAGTAGAGCTGGGTTCTCTGGGAGTGCCACTTAGCCTCCTTAGGAAAAGAAGAACAGCAATGGACCTGGACCAAGTCAGATTGAATGTGGAATTGGCCAAGCACGTGCTGTCAACGCTTAAACTGAAGTATCTGTCCCCGGGGTGTCAGGTAAGTAAAAAAATCTGGAAACTCCAGCGATTTCATCAGCCTGCGTCTGTCGTTTCCAGTTTCAGAGATATTTGGCAGTCGAACTTTCCGTTTGCACGTAGACGTGTTAATATTATTTATGATCAATGCAGCTATATTTTAACATTCTTAATTAGAATGCTGAAAGAAGAGGTTCACGTTTTANCCTGTCCCCGGCGTGTCAGGTAAACAAAAACATCTGGAAACTCAGCGATATATATAATATCATCAGTCTGTGTCTTTCGTTTCCAGTTTCAGAGATATTTGGCAGTCGAACTTTCCGTTTACACGTAGACATGTGTTAATATTATTTATGATCAACGCAGCTACATTGTAACATTCTTTTAAAAAATAATTAAAATTAGAATACTGAAAGAAGAGGTTCGACTGTTGGGTTACGTTTTACGTTGATAGATCATATTGTCACAACATAATGTAGTTCGATTAAGGTTAAGTGCCCTGGTAGACAAAATCAGATTAAAAAACTTTATTCATGTATAAAACTGGCAAAATGAGCATTATTTTTTTATTAAGTTTCTTCTACCGGTACATACATTTAGAAACTTGGAAGAAACTGAAAAGTACATTTCCCTATGTCACTTTGACATGAATGGTTTCCTCAATATCGCTCTTGTGTCATCCAAATTACTATGCATGCTTTTAACCTCTTAAAATTGAACAAAACTTTAAAATGTTTGCATGTCGCTGGTTTTTCAGAATTCAAGTTGTTCGAATTCAGTTTGTCAAAACGGGGGTTCATGCATAAGAGGTCCAGGATTCAACGTTTCATGCGCATGCCCGACAGGATATACTGGCAAGAAGTGTGAGATTAGGGCAGCCTCCGTGACGTGTACAGCAACCTGGTTATCAGCTTGTAAAGGGACGTACGGAACTGGGCGCTGTTCGTGAGTTCAAGATTTTTCTCTCTCTCGCTCCTTCTCTCTCTCGTGCACACACACTCATACAAACACAAACGCACATTCGCACACCTATTATTTTTATATTAAAATTTCATATAGTACCTTATTAATTTGTACAGTTGAGTGGCGGATTTGGAGGGGGTGTCAAGGGGGTCCTGACCCCCTTCGATTCGACCCCCCCCCCAAAAAAATTAAAATTTTGACTAGCTGAATCATAATTCTAAACCGTACCAAATGTTTGCTCTCTAAAATACCAATTTGTGTCGGGGCCCGCTACATGTACATCACACTAATGGGAGGGGAGAGGGGAGGGTTAGCTTCGCATCCGCCCCCCCCCCCCTTCAAATAATCCTGGATCCGTCCCTTTAGTAAACAGGAACCGTTTCCTGCTTCTTCACAGATTGGAACCCCGTATGTACATTGTGTATGCACTTGTTTACGTTTAAAATCTCCCACGAAACTGCTTGTTTGGCATAAAGGTGAATGTTTGTTTTTCAACTGACTCTGTGATAAGGCACAACCCAATTACTTGTTGATACGCATACATGTACCTTTGTGTTAGGGGTCACTACTAACTGATATATGTGTCCCTGCCAGCAACTTTTCCCATATAG